GAAGACAGAAATTAAAGTGCTGCTTTATTTATTTATTTATCTATTTACTTATTTATTCATTCATTTATAAATCCAGAGTAATTCAGAAGTCCAGTCCAAGGCAAAAGAAATGTTCAAAACTATCCTCACGCCATAGAAACTGGGAGATGTGCAAGTTCTTAAGAGAAATTCTTCAAACAATAGTATGAAGTGGTAAAATAAATTTAGGGCAATCAGAATAGAGAAAATGATATTTGAAACTGTCTCTGTAGCAGAATTCTAAGATTTGGGAATTCTAATTGTTCATTTGAAAGGAATGAGATTACCAATAAATTGGTGTGTCTGAAATATTGTAGCTAAGGAGCAATCTAGAATGTTATAATAAAATATTACTGAGAAATTTCACATTAGGGAAACTGGAAAGATGGCTCAGTGGTTAAGAACACTTGCTTTTACAGATTTCAGTTACCATACTCAGATGAGGTAGTTTACAGCTACCTTTGACCCCAGCTCCAGGGAATATGTCAATACCCTCACCTGGCTTGTGGGGCATGCAAATAACACACACACACACACACACACTCTCTCTCTCTCTCTCTCTCTCTCTCTCTCTCTCTCTATGTAAACACATAAATAACACATTTTAAAAAGAAATTTAAATCTCATGATGTTCTCTTTTCTTTGAATCAAGAGTAAAACTACCTAAATTCTCAGAGTAAATACTTTGAAAAAAGTATTTGATAGTAGTTTAATTTTAAGCATTAGAAATGGAACATCTCTGTTAAGACTTGGAGAAAATAATTGACAATAAATTTCAGGCCCAAATAGCAAGACTGATTTATTATTATTACTATTGTTGTTGTTGTTTTCAGCATTATAGTGGAAATCAAGCATATAGTAGATAAGTATGTATCCCTTTCTCATGTATATGGTCTTTATAAATTTCCACAGGGGGGAAATTATCTTACACTGAAACACTATAAGCAATTGATTATTTCTGTAAAGCTTAAATGTTTGTTCAGGTAATAGACAGTTGAAAACCATTACAAATAGTTATGCTTATTTGCTCAGTAATTCCATTTTTTTCTTTTCTAAATTTACTCTCTTTGTTTCTACTTTAAAAAAAAAAAAGATTTATTTATTATGTATATAGTATTCTGCCTGCATGTATCCCTGCAGGCCAGAAGAGGGCACCAGATGATTGTAAACCATCATGTGGCTGCTGGGAATTGAACTCAGGACTTCAGTAGAGCAACCACTACTCTTAACCTCTGAGACATCTCTCTAGCCCCCATTAGGCATCTCTCCAGCCTCCTTTCTTTTGGAGCAAGTAAAAGTTACTTTTGCCTTTTAAAGTAAAAGTCACTTAGCCTTTTAGTGCTACTCTTTAATTATTTAAGTAAAAACAATATAGTTTACTTTTGAAAGGGATGGATGACTTAGGTTATATGGAGCTTTTATTAGTTAGTAGTTTAGGAAGAATTTTGTCTTTATTGATTATATGATCTATTTTTATAATTTTATTTTTCTTAATTCTGCCCTTTGATTTCTTACTGTACAAAGAGTAAGCACAATTAATGTAATGAAGTGAGGGAGAATAATACTTAGTACTGTAAAGAATGTGTAACTTTCAGTATTATGGAAGTGGCTTGATATCTATTCTTTAGGTGCTTCATAACAGACAGAAAGCTACAGGGATTGGATTATTGAGCATTGCAGAAAGTCATATGCAAGTCTACCTGCTTCTGAGTTGGTGGATCATTTGATGTAATGCATGTGGTTTTTTGTTTGTTTGTTTGTTTGTTTTTGGTTTTGGTTTTTGGTTTTTCAAGACAGGGTTTCTCTGTGTAGCTTTGGAGCCTATTCTGGCGCTCGCTCTGGAGACCAGGCTGGTCTCGAACTCACAGAGACCCACCTGCCTCTGCCTCCCGAGTGCTGGGATTAAAGGCATGTGCCACCAATGCCCAGCCCTTGATGTGATGCATGTTGATTGTTGTCCTTGGGATACAAATTGTTCCTCAGGGGTCAGAAGATGATTATAATGACTCTTCATAATGCAGGATTGTCCATCCCCCTCTCCCCCAGTGATTAGTGTGGTCTACTCTTTTTTTTTAATAAATCTTTTTTTAGAAAAATTTTATTTATTATGTATACAGTCTTCTGCCCAAATGCCAGCAGAGGCACCTGATCTCATTCAAGATGATTGTGAGCCACCATGTGGTTGCCAGGAATTGAACTCAGTAACTCTGGAAGAACAGTCAGTGCTCTTAACCGCTGAGCCATCTCTCTAGCCCAGTGTGGTCTACTCTTAAAGACATTTTCCCCTATCCAAGATCACCACAATACCACCAGCAAGCCTTATTGTGTTACTTTTCTCTTTTAGATCTACAGCCTGTTCTGGAACTAGTTTTGTATGTGGTATAAGGAATAAATTAAGTTCCATACCATATCTGTCTGACTCAGCACCAGTGACTGAAAAGACCCCCCAACTGTTCTACTGGGATCCCTTTGTTACAATATAGATCCTATATCTTTCCTTGGTATTAAATGTAACTCATTATTAACTCACATTTCTTTAAAATTATTCAAGAAGCATAAGAAAATTTATAACTGATTAATTTCTGACATACTTTAACAAACTAATGCAGTTTGTAATGAAAGTTAGAAAATATCATTTGTAAAAAAATCTTTACCCATTACTCCCAAATGCAGCATTACAATAGTTTATAGATTTTTTTTTTTACAGTTTTACTTTCCATGACCAGACAAAATTCAGAAATACTTTATAAAAAATACCAGAAATTGCCAGGGGTTGGTGGTGTACACTTTTAATCCCAGCACTTGGGAAGCAGAGGCATGTGGATTTCTGTGGGTTCTGGACCAGCATGGTCTACAAGAGCTAGTTCCAGGACAGGCTCCAAAGCTACACAGAGAAACCCTGTCTCGAAAAACAAAACAAAACAAAACAAAAAATCCAGAAATGAACAGTTCTAATTTTTAAGTTGTTATGTTCCACACAGTATCTTTTTCTTTTAATGTGCTCTAGTTTTTTTTTTTTTTTTTACTTTTTTAAAATTTAAATTGGAAAATTAGAAACAAACTTGTTTTACATGTCAATTCCAGTTCCTTCTCCCTCCCCTGCCCTCCACCAACCCCCTATCACATCCCCTTTCTACTCCCCAGGGAGGGTGAGTCATTCCGTGGGGGATCTTCAAGGTCTGTCATATCATTTGGAACGGGGCCTAGGCCTGTCTAGGCTGAGAGAGTATCCCTCTATGTGGAATGGGCTCCCAAAGCCTATTCATGTACTAGGGATAAATACTGATCCATTACCAGAGGCCCCATAGATTGCCCAGACCTCCAAACTGACATCCACATTCAGGGGGGTCTGGATCTATGCTGGTTTCCCAGCTATCAGTCTGGGTCCCCTTGTTCAGGTCAGCTGTTTCTGTGGGTTGCTCCAGCCTGGTCTTGACCCCTTTGCTCATCGCTTCTCCCTCTCTTCAACTGGATTCTAGGAGTTCAGCTCAGTGTTTAGCTGTGGGTGTTTGCTTCTGCTTCCATCAGCTACTGGATGAAGGCTCTAGGATGGCATATAAGGTAGTCACCAATCTCATTATCAGAGAAGGGCATTTAAGGTAGCTTCTCCACTATTGCTTAGATTGTTAGTTGGGGTCATCCTTGTAGATCTCTGGACATTTCTATAGTGCCTTATTTATCTTTAAATCTATACTGGTTCCCTCTATTGTGGTATCTGTTTTCTTGCTCTCCTCTATCCTTTCCCTGACTCAATCTTCCTGCTCTTTCATGTCCTCCTCTCCCTTCTTCTCCCCTTCTCTTTCTCCTAACTCCCTCTCCCCTCCCCCCATTCTCCCAATTTGCTTAGGAGATCTTGTCCCTTTCCCCTTCTCGAGGGGGACCATGTATGTCTCTCTTAGGGTCTTCCTTGTTTCCTAGCTTCTCTGGAGGTGTGGATTTTAGGCTGGTAATCTTTTACTCTATCTATGTCTAAAATCCATATATGAGTGAGTACATACCATGTTTGTCTTTTTGTGACTGGGTACCTCACTCAGGATGGTTTCTTCTAGTCCCATCCATTTGCCTGTGAATTTCAAGATTCCTTTGTTTTTGTTTTTGTTTTTCTGCTGAGTAGTACTCCATTGTGTAAATGTACCACATTTTCTTTATCCATTTTTCAGTTGAGGGACATCTAGGTTGCTTCCAGGTTCTGGCTATTACAAATAATGCTGCTATGATACAGTCCAAGGCCCCAGTGAAGCAACTGTATCTCCCATAGATGTGAGGAAACTACTATTCCCCACCCCCTGAAGATGCCATCCAATATTCTACAGTAATAACTTGCTGAATAGAGTTTTAAAAAATTCATAGTTCTCAATCACTTATACAAATAACTATTCAGTATGATTTTTGAAACTAATATTTTTTTTACTATTATAGAAACAGTCATGCCTTTGAAATAAAATGTGCTGTTCTTTGTACCTGTGCAAATATCTGTGTTTGCATTGAAAATACATTTGATTCTATCACTGAATAAAAGTTGGGTGATTTTATTTAAAATCTTTAACAAAACTAACCCTCTTCTTGAAGAATATTGAAGCTTTGTTTTTATGGTCAGCTTTTATTTCAACATTTACCTTTTTAAATATTGGAAAAAATTAAAGTTCATAAACCAGTTTCTGATACAGAGGAGGCTTTTATTTTTGTGGGTGTTTTATTTTGCTCTCTGAGCTTCCAAAGCAGGTTCACAGCTAGATTAGATTTGTACAGTATCCAGGTAAGCTAATTTACATACTCACCTTTCCTGATCCTTCAGTTTTCTTTCTGAAGAGCAGCTTCCTGTAAAAGGGTTGGTAATCTTAACATCTCTTACAATTCATTCTACGTTCCTCCTACTTTCAAATCTTATTCCACACTACTGTCTTCATTAATTAAAAACATTATTCAGTCAGAAGGTACTTAGACAAGTTCATTATTTTGTTTTCCTTCTTTCTCTTGCCTAGATACCTGTGGAAGGACAGGAGCAACAGACAGATTCCACCAAAGGGCGATGTCTGAGGAGAACTGTCAGTGTCCCTTCAGAGGGTCAGTTTCCTGAGTACCCACCAGAGGGCACCGCTAAACTAGGTAAGCTAATGAAAGGAAAGAAACCCCTATGTTTTATTGAATGATTTGTGGATTTGTCACTGCTACAGTAAAAGCACTGTGTATTTCTTATTAAACCTGTATGTTCAAGTCAGTAGCCTGTTAATCCACATTTAAAGTTCATCAGAGTTATAACCAAGCAGCAGCAGTTATTGGATGGCATATTTCTGCACTATTGCTGATCTCTGGGTTTTCAGAGCATTGGTAGTATTGCTTCAGTCACTGTGTGAGAGAACTTGGTATTGAGTGGTTTAGACACACCCTTTTCATAGCTGCTGATGTTTTTGTGGATGTCAGAGAAGGCTAATTTAACTTTGTATGTCCTACATAATTTCTGTTCAGACCAGTGGTTCAAGTATATGATAGAGGGAGATTTTTTTTTTTATGGTCTATCCGTATTTCTAAGTATTTTTTTTTCTGCAGATTTTTTTTGTATTTGAATTAGAAACAAGATTGTTTTACATGACAATCCCAATTCCCTCTCCCTCCCTCCTCCCTTACTATCCCCCCCAACTAAAACCCTACCTATCACATATCCTTTCTGCTGAGGGAGACATGTTAACCCCTTCTATTTCAGATCAGGAATAGTTTAGTGATGATCACACTGTCACCAAATCAAAAAAACTGCAAAAGCATTTAAGTTGTCATATCCACCCCAAAATTGTTCAATAGCATTTTATATCCTACATAATATTAGGTGTTATTGTTTTGCAATATTTAAATAATTAAACTGGCACAATAATTTAAAGGAATACACAATTTAGAATAATGAAGGAATTTGAAAAATAGGACCTGCTTTAGGGCTTTTACATTGTACTATTATGTATTTAATGAAGCATGAATATCTTACTCATGGATACATGGTAAGTAAATAAAACAAAATCATTTATTGTTTCTGTGGTGGTAGTCGATGTCTATAATTCTGTGATTTGGGTTGTGTTTTCTAAAATAAGGGTTTTTTGTTGTTGTTGTTGTCTAAATGTAGGTCAGAATTTAAATCCATCATTTCTCTTGTTATCTTGGAAAACTTTCTGCCTTTAAAAACAATTAGGCTAGCAAATATTTTCTCCAAGTTTACTATTTGGAGAAACCACATTCCAGTGAATTGGTTTACTTTGAACCACTTTAGCATATGTTGAAGCCAATGTAGGCCCACATAATATTGTAAACTTACTGTAGTGTAAATATTTTATAGCTTGTTTTATTTCACATGCACTGATACTCCATATATACAAACATGCCAAAGAGCCACCATCTTTTATTTCTGTTTTTTCATTATTTCTGCTATATTGAAGTATTTAGGTTTGAGAAAGTATAGTCATAGTCTGAAGAATTACTACAGAGTTCTAGAAGAGACAGCTAATGACTATTAAATAGTTAAATATTTCCTGTGTTCCGGGTACCTTTCCTAAAGACAGAATAAGCTGTCGGGTAGCAAAGGTGTTTGGTCTTGAGCAATTCTCTGACTTTTATTCTGGACAGGTCTGGTGGCTGTCCTGACTAATGAGACTTAGTGATAACTTTCAGAGCTGTTTTCCTAACCTTAGCACTGAAATTTACTCTCATTAATATGAGAGGGTGAAGCTTATCTCTGGAGATACTCTTTTCTTTTGTGTCAGTTGAATCTTGAATTAGTTTGTTTTATTTTTATTTCCTGGTGAATTTTCTTTAAGCAGGATTACCTTTTGTTGAATGTTCCATTGAACATTTGTGTTTGTCACATTTGGTGCCAGTCTAAAGAATAGAAAAAAGTAGAGTAGTCTTTTAGGGTTGTGGTGTTTTTGTTTTTGTTTATTTTTGTGTATGTGTATGTGTGTTGTTGTTGTTGTTTGGTTGTTTTAGTTAACAAGATAGGACAAATACACGTGGAAACAAAAATTTAAGTATTTCTGAATGCCTGAAGGTAGAAATTGAAAAAAAATAATATGCTTAATACAACATCACAAGACAATAACTATCAAGAAAAATAAATCTAATGTGCTGTGCAAAACCTTTACATAGAAAATTATAAAAAGAATTTAAGTAAATGAAAAGCATGGGAGGTAGAGTTGCATTGAGTGTTTCAGAACTTGCAGCTCTCTGGAGACAGAGGCGGATGGATTTCTGTGAATTCCAGGCCAAACTAGTCTATATAGCAAGTTTCAGGCCATCCAGGGCCTCATAAGAGCCACTCTCTCAAAACAAACAAAACCAAACCAAAAATAAGGCAGAGTAGAAGGAAACAAAAGAATGTCACCTAACCTCTGGATATCAAGAACTGTTTAAATAGATCTAATTGAACAGAATTCAGAATTCTGAAATGGTTGTACTTTTATATAGGACATAGATTGTTACAAAGGGAGCCTGGGAGAGCAGTGAGGGGGCGGGCAGTCTTTTCAGCCATTGGTGTCAAGTCAATCAGATAACCCTTCTGAGGAGCAAGGGTGTGAGACTTCACTTCTTTCCTAAGTCATGCAGGAACCAGTTCCAGGTGTGTTGTAGGTCTAAAACTGAGAAGTAGCACAGTAGGCTTGCAGAATGTCTTCAACAGAAGACAGCATTAATCACTAGGGAAGTAACTGATTCAATTAGTAAAGATTAGAAACTATGTATTAAAATACCACTAAGAAAGTAAAAATGCAAATTATAAAGCAGGACAGTGTGTTTGTAAGAACCATGACAGGAAAGGTTGACCTGGTGTGTGCAGGATTCCTAGGGGAAAATGAGCAAGACTTGGCACTATATTTTACTGAAGAATTCACTGAACAATACACCCAACAGTGCCTGGTATATCATCCATTTAGATGAAGCTCCAAGTAACAGAACTCATGTGTGTTGTTGGAAGTCAGGTTAGTGATTAGTTTCAGGGAAGAGGCAGGAATTAGCAAGAAAGAAGACTACGACAAGCTTCTGGAGTGCTTTCAATGGCCTTTTGTTGACTCACTCAGGCACTGGTTTCACTCCCCATGTCCACGTTGGAATAATTCATTAAGCTGAACGTTGTCCATTTGAGCACTCTTCTGTCTGACTGTTCCACTTACCAAATTGGGGTGTGGGCAAGGGGTTACAAAGCTCATGTTGTCAAATAAATGGACTAGATGAGCAGAGAGGATGGTTAAGGATTACTATCAACTTTATTATATGGTACTGAAGGGAAGGGAAGCATTAAGATATGGACTAAAAATAAAAACATCTTGGGATTTAACGACATTAAGGTTCTTAGTGAATTTAAGTCTAAACTATCAGTTTCAATGGTATATAGTAGCAGCAGCCATACTGAAATGGCTTGAAAAACAGTATATTCAGAGAGGAAATTCAACAGGAAGTGGGGATAACTCACTTTATATATTATTTGTCAAAGGGATGGCAGGTTGATAGGTACTCCATAGATATTGAGTGACTAAATGCATAAGGAATACTAATGAAGAATAAAGATAAAGGATAGGGTATGCCTGTTAATCAGTCATGCTAATAGTATGTGTGTGGCGATGTTCATGATTTCTGTGCCATTTTTGTCTCTCTTAAAACTTAAAAGCAGTTCATGGACTGATCCCTTGACTTCTGGTCCTCAATTTCATAGATGCAGTACTCTTAGAGCCACCATGAAATGCTTATAGTAGGATTACATTATTTTTGAAAAGTTGCTATTACAAGTTGTTTCCTTTGTGTGTTTTGTTACAATATCATAGTAACAAAAAAATTCCACTGATCTCCAGGGATGAAAGAGAAAATCTGTTGGGTGAACATAAATTTCAAAAATCTGTTTTCTCCAGTATCCCTGAAAGATAAATTTTCACTTTGTTTTCCTAATATGGTCATTCTACTGAGGATGCCCCAGTTAACTAACAAATGAAATTCACAGTATAAAGATGGAGGAAGGAAAGTTTGTGCTTAAAAGTTATGTTGCCTGTTTGGAATACTGTTATTGTTTTGTTTTGTTTTGATGATTTCAGTAACACTACTAGATAGTTAAGTATTAGAAGCCATTGTAGGCTCTAGGGGTTAGCATTGAAAATATTTGAAACAAAACAAAACCTCATTTTGTGCACTTGCTTTCTACTAAGGAGTCATAGACAATAAGCCCAAAAGTAGTTTCATAATGTCAGATATAGGTAAGAACAAAGCAGAAAATAAAGCTGCAAATGGGACTAGGGAAACCAAAGTGTCTGGAATAATTATTTTAACCTAGCTTACTAAGAAATACCTCATTGGTGTTTGTAATAATCTAACAGTACGGATGCCACACTTAAAGAAACTTAGGAGTGGGGGATTCCAGTTAGGAAAGCAGCTGAATGAACAGCAGATGAACCTGTGAGAATAGAGGGGAATGAAAACAAGGAGAAGAATGTATTAATAGCAAAGGTACAAGAATGGAATTCAAGACAAGTTAGGATGCTATTACAGTCACCTAGACAAGAACTGATAGCAACTTCAGTATTTACATTTTCTTGGCGTTGTCCTCATATGCTTACATTCATCAGATTCCAACATTGATTTTGTTTCATCAGATTCTTTTCTTTTGGAAATGTAATGTTTTATGAAGCACTCATATCAATATTTAGAGAATTTAGATAAACTATTCTCCCCCATAACAATGTCCAGGTTTTAGGTTATTAGTCAAAAGGTTATCTATATTTGGGGTCAGAGAAATGGCTCAGTAATTAAGAGAACTGGTTGCTCTTCCAGAGGACTCAGGTTTGATTCCCAGCACCTACAAGGCAGCTCACAACTATCTGTAACTTCAGTTACTGGGGATGTGATGCCCTCTTGTAGCCTTCATGTACACCAGACATTCAGGCAAAACATACATACTCTTAAAAATATATTTAAAAGATTATGTTCAACTGTTCAGAGTTTTCAAAAAGGAAATTGCTTCTTCAAATGACTGTGTTCCTTGTCTACAAGGAAGTGATTAGTTACATGAACATTTCAAGAGGTGGAATTTAGTAAATACTCATTTTTAGTGTAACTATAACCCATGAACTCAAAATTTTAAAAGAAAA